CACATTACATCAATTCAGGTCTAAAAGACTAATAGGAACAACGTGTTTTGGAATTGGTTCAATAGATCATCACAGCCAGCAGCCGTGAAATGGGTTGAGGTGGCTGCAACACAATTCTTGGGGGCAAATGCATCGATCAAAGTATGTCCATTAAAAAGGCCTGTTTTTGCCACTGACAGGCTCACATCATTGACAGTATATAATTAGTGGACAGAGCTCCCAGGTCTGTGAAATGAAGCCTACGCGCAAGTGTCTTAAACCTGATGATCAATGGTTATGCATGATTAATGTAATTAAAATGTTATTTTAGTTAATTACACCATTAGGAACTCTGCTCGGAAGTTCTGTAAGAAATGTGATAGAATTGACAAAATCACAACAGACTTCCAACTCGACTTTAACACAAACGTTTTGTGACTTCACTTGAACTTTAGTCTTTTGACCTAAAACAATAATAATTCTCCCTTCTTCAATTGACCTCCCTAAGTCCTATGAGCAGTGGGAAGCCACCCTGATTGTGATTGCAAACACAGGGAGAACATGCGAACTCCACACAGAAAGGCCCAGCTGGGAATTTAACCAGGACCCTCTTGCCACCATGCCACTAAACTAGGACTGTAGGACACAAAACAAAAGTTTAAGGTCTACAACTGTCTTGCCTTGGAATTTATGTGCAAAGACTTAAGACTTACTTGTGACTTGCAAATAGACTTCCTGATTTCGTCCTCAAAGTATAGCTATTAGAGATGGTAGTGATAATAACTTGAATATGTTCCCATGATGGGATCTGCTGTCGACATGAGTAAAGTACTGCTCTCTCTCTGGAAGCTTTTAAGGAATTTAATAACGTCTGCTGAAGTGACAGAAAGTACAAAATCAAACCGGGCTGAGATGAAAGAGAACAAACATGATGAAGTTTGTTCTGTCATCAGTTTGATCTCAGTCTACTATTTTTGCTGTCGTACTTTGTGTCCCCTCAGAGCTCCCATTAAGTCCTTCTGATTTATGCATCAAAAGCTTCTGTTATTTGCACAATCTTTTTCTGAGAACGTCTTCCTCCTCTTCTTCCTCTCTGATCTGTAAAATGAGATATAAAAATGAAATAGTGCCCCTCTTTTGTCTCTTTTGAACTGTATTGATTCAGAAGCAGTGCACCTGTGGCTGCGAATTACATCAGCTTGTGAGGAGCCCCAAACGCACTCCATCATTCATGACATCTTGTTTTGGAGTGAAACCTCCTCGCGGTCTTTCTTCGTTTCTCTTCCTTCGAGGAGGACACTCTTCCTCCTCTGTGTCGGAGGAGTTCGGATGTGGATGAGATGACAGATTTAATTGAAGCTGAGGTTTTGACACTTGAAGGCTCTGACAGGCCGCGGTGCCCTTCAGACAGATCGCGCCTCATCATCAGACCTCCTGCGGTGGTTCGCAGTGGGAGGCTCGTCTCTGGAAGCTGACGTGCACTGATGGCCGGAGAGGGGATCAGTGATGCAAATCTCAACACGTGGGCGGCGGAGTGGCGGAGTGGCGGCTCTTTTTCAGGTTCACAAGAGGAAAGATGATGTCTAAATGGTTGGTTTGGTAAATGTACTCTTTACTCCACTACATTTATTTGATAAGTTACTTTTCAGATTCTGATTAATAATACAAAATATAGTCACTTTATAAATTATGATGTATTGTTTAGTTATTTGTAAGAATTATTGTAGAACAATGTAGAAACATAGTGTACTATACTTATAGCCAAACAAAGCGACTTAGCAGAATATAAAGTAATTATTAAATTAGTTCCAGCATTACAGTAATTAACACATTAATGCATCAATAATTATAATCCACAAGAAAGATTTTGATAGCAGGACTTGTGTATTGCTATTTTTAGTAAAAGATCTGAGTACTGCTGAGTACTCCACCACTGCTGAATTGTGCTAAGAGATGTTGCCACGCTCTGTTTTGATGTGCCGGACTCAAGCTGAGAGCAGTGTCCACAGTTGCTGCTGGGTAAACTCTCCTCAGTAATGAGTTTGTAGGGGTTATCGTGGTTACTGCTCATGTATGACTAATGAATGTTGTTGCTGTGGAGACCTGGCATTGTATGGTTGATGTTCAGTGCTATAGAACAAAGTAGCAGTGTGGAAATAACCATTTAGTTGTGGTTTGTCAGCACTCTAAGCTATCTAACTAGCTCTATGGTTAGTGATTTTTAACATGTCACCTTTGCCACAAGTCAGATCTTTAAATTTCTGCCCTACTGGATCTGCCCCGGTCAACTGTAAGTGCTATTATTGTGAGGTGGAAGCGGTAGGAGTAACAACAGCGCTGCCACAAAATGGTAGACTCACAGAGCAGAGCCAAATAGTGCTGAAGCGTGTAGAAATCCTATCATCTGCTGAATGCAAACTGCCTCTGGAAGCAACATCAGCACACACACTGCATCAGGAGCTTTGAGAAATGGGTTACCGTGTCCAAGTAGTGGCCGGAGTGGTGAAAGGACGACTCAACTGGACTCAGCAGTGGAAACGTGTTCTTTAGAGTGATAAGTCACGCTCTACTATCTGGCAGTCTGATGGATGAATCTGGGTCTACTGTAAAGTTTCATGGAAGACCAATAATGGTCAAGGACCCTTTGTTCCAGTGAAGGCTCTAATTCATGCTACAGGACATTTTAGCCGGTTGGGCACTTCCAACTTGTTGCAACAGGTAGAGGAAGGTCCTTTGCTGTTCGAGCTTGATCTTAACACCACTGAACACCTTTGGGAGGAATTAGAACACTGATTACGATGTTTTCTCATCCAATAACATTGTCTGACCTCACAAATGCTCTTTTGGCTGCATGAGCACAAATTCCCACAGACACAGGAACCCTTCCTAGAAGAGTGGCAGTGAGGTCTCCAGCTCTGTATTTTGTACAGTTTTTCTCAATTGATAAAACACAATTTCTGAAACCTTGCTCCATTTTCTGAAAACATTAAACACAAAACCTCAGCTTCAAGCACTATTTACAAAACCTCTGACTCCTCGTCTAAAATGAAACTTTCGCCTCAAAACAGATTTACCTGTGCTCAAAACCAAACACTGCTCTCAAATCATAATAATAATAATAATAATACATTTTATTTGTAAAGCACTTTTCATAAAAGAATCTCAAAGTGCTCATAAACAAAGTGATCAGAATGATATACACTATCAAGCAGTCAGTAAACAATACACCAAAAAATAGAAAACACGTTGTTCAAAACATATAGTTCTCAGGGAGAAGTACATTTTTAATCTCAAAACTAATTTCATATTTTTCCGTCGTTGTCTTTTGATGAATGAAAACATGTTCTATCATAGTAGCTCAAAATTGATCAGAAATTATACTCTGCTTGATCTTTGCAATTTTTTTTGTTCTTCCTCCTCCTTGTGCCCCTATTTTTACAGTACTGTACCCTGCATCTCACAAACTTGTAATTCTTGTTCTTTGTTGATATGAACCTGCAACCAGTCAAAATCTATTGAGCAGGCAGTACTGTAAACAAATGGAAAGCACAATGTTCAGGGCCAGACAATGTGTTTATTGTACAGTATACAGCCTACAATGCACTGTACTACAGTATACAATACAAACATCAAAGGAGTAAACATGTGATCAATGTCCTTCTTCTTGTCTTTCTCCGTCCCACCTTCAACAACCTGTTTGCTCTCTGAACTGGCTTATATTGGTCGTGTCACATGATTTGAAACAAGTGAAATCAATTTTGAGTGGTTGTGTTTAATCAATGACGTGTTCTCTATTTGTATTTGATTGTTGCTGAGTGCAGAATGTGTTTTGAGAATGAGAATGTGTTTAGAGTTCTACTGAAAAGTCTAAGTGAGATCTGCACTTTGTGTTTTACCATGTGAAATGGTTTAAGGTATTGACAACAGACTGCACAATTAGCTAAATGAGTTCAGGCAACTGCGAACTTTGTTCAGCCAATGGGTTTTAGTGTTTTAGCAATTGAGAAAAACTGTAACTCCCATGGTTTTTAGAATGAGATGTCCAACAAGCTCTTATAGGTATGATGGTCAGATGTTCATCTGTGACTGCTTAGCCTTCAAAAAACAGAATGGAAGAACATTTAGAGAACATGCACAAGGTTAGGTACAGAAAGTCACATAGAAGTCATTGAAAACATAATTCCCACTGTGGGAATCAGCTCCTGCGTCCGCCCTGCTGACGAGTCCTTGAAGAACGTGTTGGTAATGCTGCTATTTGGGCGACCGTGACCTCCGACCTCCCCGCCACACAAGACGAGCGTCCTCCTCAGAGATCAGATGAGCTGTGCGGACATAAATTGAGCGGACGTTGTGCCGTTATCAGCAGGGTTCAGTGTAAGCCACCATGTCAGCCGCTTCGCCCTCCGACTGATCGCCTCATTAGCATCTGGATCATTAGAAGGTCGGTGTGATGAAGAGGAGCTCTTATTGATTAGTGAAGATGTTAGCCCGAAGCTCAGACATGCAAGCTTTTCATGAGACAGTTCAAAGAGGAAGTCAGCCCTCCTCTTCATCAGCAGCTGCTGACAGACTGCTCTTGAGCAAGGCAGTGACCTTCAGATGGACTGGTGGAGCTATGTAGCCCTCAAACGACATGACAGCTCGTTAAAGACCAATTACTGTAAGCTCAGAGGTTGATTGTGAAGGGTTTTACTGGATATTCATTTATTCATCTGTGCAGTTGGAATGAACGTTCAAAACACAGCGAGACACTGTCGGTTAGTTTATTCCCGTGGTTGTAAAAAGGTTTTCCAACCTCTTGTGCTACAATCACACCAGGAGGAGGAAAGTATAGACACAGAAGTGTTTCCTAGTCTATTAATCTGTGCATTAGAGATGAAGATTAAGATTACAGAGATCTTAGAAAGTGATATTGATGCACATTTCTCTCTCTGTTTTTTTCTTTTTTTTTTTAATTTTTTTTTTTTTTTTTTTTTTTTTTTTTTTTTATTTTTTTTTTTTTTTTTTTTTTTTTTTGGCTGTAGATAGGGTATTTAGCTTGGAAGGAGAGGGTTTTGTGAAGGGGTTGCAATCTGCAGTTATACCTACACAGTGGACCTTTAATCTGCCAGCATTCAGGTTAGACTTGAGAGACAGTTGTCTTGACCTTTACATGAAGCTATCCAGGATTCTTATTCAGACATGAGACCGACATGTTCAGTTGCAATCAGATTAACAGAAAGAGAAACCAGCAGTGGTCCAGGTCAGTTCGGTCCAAATCTCAACAGATGTCCGGATGTTGTTGAATTTTGTATTTTTTCCTCAATGTTTCTGTAGACTACGCAGTTCAAGAGTTTCCTTTAATTGTGTTTATTGTTGTTTTTTTACTATTTCCTGTTATATTTTATATAATCATAATAATAATAATCTGCACCACGGGTACATCTCAGCTGCGTCCGGTGGATTTAGGCCATTAGGGTATGATTGAAGTGTCTCATGTACTCTATAAATAATCTGTTAAACATCTACAGACAAAGTGAAACAGCTGTATCTGCAGGTGGACTGTCTGAATACAGCGGTACCCAGTTGCGTTCAGAACTGGTGGCTTTAAAGGCCACAGCACATGATTCACATCATTTCCATGAAAACACTCAGTGAAGCCATTGTGTACTGTATGGAGGCATCTGCACTTGTTGTTTATTCATGTTTGTCCCCTTAATTTGTCCCCCCGTCTGTCTGTGGCCAGTGGATTCACTCCATAGGAACAAACAGGTGAAACACGAGGACGACACCAGGTGCTCTGTCACCTTGCCTGCCGGATTCCAGCTTTAACGCAGAGAGCTGATGAAGGATGAATCCATCAGGGAGCGCTGTCTCTGTGTGCAGTATTCATGCAGGACAGACAGGATGAATGCACAAAGGAGGAGTTTTATTGTCCACTGTACTGCCTTCTACATTCTCATTCTCCAGATCCTCTCGGCTGCTCTCCAGAGAGCTGTTGTTATCCATCAGCTGAAATAAGAAAGGCTGCGTCACTCTGCTGTTCTTCACACCCTCATCCATTTCTTTTATTCCCCCACAGCGCCTGTCAAAATAACCAAACATTCCTCATGATAACACTCCACTTCTGCCTTTTCATTTTTCATATCAAACCTGTACAGAAATGTAACATTTAGAGAAACCCTGCTGCTATTATTCTGCCCTGGCGTGGTGTGGTGTGTGTGTGAGCGTGACTCCTCTGTTGAGTCATTTGTGGCACTCTGCTGCCCTCTCCTGTGCCATATTTCACACAATCTGGTGGGAAATAAACAGAAGCCACCGGCAAAATGCTGCTAAATCTTCCCCGAGGCCGATAAATCGCTTCGTCTGCCGGCGGCTGAGGCGGGTGTGGTTAAAGGCCGTGGTGCCAGAATGAATGCCAGCTTCCTTTTAGTCTCCGTCCAGTATGCAGAAATGTACAGTACACTGTGAACACATTTATTCAGCAAAAAACTGCGTTTTAGCATAAAGTGGGCGTGTTGGTAAACAGGAGACTTGTGGGTATCCACAGAACCCATTTTAGTTCACATATCTTTAGGTCAAAGGTCAAGGGATCCAACTAGCATGACATGGTTGGTACCAATGCCAACATGTGTATGTGGGGCATTGTGGGTATTAGATTGGCTGAACCAACCACATACAACCTGAAGTGCTTTCGGTTTAATATGTTGTATTTATGGAACCGGTATTAGGCTTATTTTAGGAGCTGCTGTTGTTTATCACAGCTTACAGCTTTAGACTCACATTACAGTATTTTAACTCTAACTCTGTTTTCTGTGAGACTTCCTGAGACTCTCCTCATGCTGTCAGTTCATTTCTTGCACTCTGTTGCCCCCTAGTGAGACAACACACTCATTCATATTCAATAAGAAGGTTGTGGGAGGAGAATTACCACAAACCAGCAACCGAATCTTCCCTGAAGCTGATCAATCTGTCAGGTCTGCAGGAGCTGAGCTGCTGAACGTGAGTTTAATCTTTTGTTTGAATTAGTTCGTCTTCACTTAGGAGACTCAACCATTTTTCACAAACTGGGGCTTGATGCCATTCTGTTTAAAATATCACCTACATCACCCATCAACCTCCCATTTGGAGGAATTCTAAGCAGAATATCATTGTTCTGTCAGCTTTTTGGTTTCTGATGCAGGACGAGGCTGAAGCTCTGTCAGTGTACACTCGGATCAATAATAATAATAATAATAATATATATAATATATACACTGTCGTCAGTTTACATCTATAATAATAATCTAAACCAAATGTCCCATCTGTCCCTGAGGGTCACAGTTGCCTGTAGAGAGAGATAGAAGTGAACAGTTCACAGAAAACGGCTCAAATTCTGTTTCATTAAGTCCACAAGGTTCAGTTGTGTTTCACTTCATCAATCCAAAACGCCTCCAGGTTTAACAAAGGGGGGGGCTTTTGGACTGAACCTAACACTGTCAGTCAACCAGGTGAGACGATCAATAATCATAAATGTTTAAAGGAACCTCACTATCCTTCGCTCTGACCTTCTCTGTTGTTGGTTTTTCTCCGCCAGCGTCAGACAGATTCCTCCGGTTTCATGGTGCTTCACCAACGTGATGGTTGCTACGGAGACACTGATGCATTTATTAGCTGGCAGCTGGGACTAATCCGTCTCCGGTGTTTCGTCAGCCCAGATCAAAGCAGCTGCTGGTCTCAGGACTGTGTTACAACATCTGTATTCTCCTGGAAAGTAGGACGTCTTCACTCGCACACAGCACACACGTATATATCTCCTGTGTATTCATACTGTCTGTAACAGTTACACGACAACCATTTATTAAAAAAACAGGAGGAACAAAGAGATTTTTTGGTTTGAAAATAATCGGTTTCTGTTCCTCGACATATAAACAGCTCATTTCCCTGCATTCAAAACAAAACACGGACCTTACAGATTGCAGAACTTTTCAGCAAACAACCAAAACTATCAGCAATTTTATTCTCACTGCAACAAAATGACTTTGTTTTTTAATGAATATTATAAAAAACAATCACTAACAAAATATTTTTGCAATTTTTCATTTTCTCTGACAAATGAATTGTAAAAATTGCCTAAAAGATCTCAACATGCAGCACAATTGTTTTTAGAAAAGCTGCTGTGAAATCCTGGATGGACTATAAAGCCTCGCCTCACGCTCCCCTTCAAGACGTGTGGGAGAAACTACGGTGGCTGTGCAAATAAAACATGAATTGCCTCTATCTAGAGCCAGTGTTTGGTTTGTCTGTTCTGGGCTACTGTAGAAACATGGTGGTTCAACATGGTGGACTCCACCAGAAGAGTATCTTCAGTATCTTGCTCAAGGATACTTCGACATGTGGCAGGAGGAGCCGGGGATCGAACCACACAACCTTCCAATTAGTGGACGACCCACTCTGCCTCTGAACCACAGCCGCCCAAAAATGTAATATTATTATTACTTAATGTAAATAAGTATATGGCCAAAAGTATGTGGACACCCCTGCAGTTAAAGCTACGTTTGTAAAATCAGAATTAGAAAACAAACCTTACCTTGTGAACAAGTATTAAAAAACCAAAACCTTCTCTGATTCTTTCATTGTGTGAGCATTAGAATGAATGAAACATGAATAACCAGATTCTTGTTTCCGTGTTGGAACACGATGAACGCCTGAGGCTGAGTGAGTGAATGAATTAGTGGATTTATTTCACAATAACTGCCTCAAGCAAAACAGCCACTTAAAAACATTAGACAGTAAATCTGCAGCAGAGTTTTAACTCTTTTTTTATTATTATACGAGGTCGAATGGTCACATATCCACACAGCCACAGTTACACAGCCCCTACAGAAACAATTAATTTCCCATGTTCCTCACATGTGAGACAGATGCTACCACATGTTTCAACACAGTCACACACACACACACACACACACAGCAGTTTACCTGACTTCACACATTACACCACAGAATGTCCCAAAACCAAGAGTAAAAAGTACCCAAATACTGTACATATATCCTACAAATATGATGTAAACATTGACACTGGGGGTCAGGTATTGCAGGAGGAGGGTGGAGAGGATCTGACACTGTGTGGCTGCAGGGCGAGCTTTGTGTTCAGATGGCTGCGCTGTTTCGACACCAGCACCATCATCAGTTTTCTAAATGATTCGTAATAGCTGGAGGGCTCGTAGTCTGAGCCGGGACCGAGAAACAGCTCCTCCTAATGTTTACAGCAAGGATGGATCCTCTCTCTCTCTCCTGATAAAGACCTTTCCTTATCTGAAGGAAGTAAATCAGGAAAATCCCTCTGCTGACTACAAACATAAATAAACATTTCTGTATCAGACTGTAATCTGCTCTGGAGTGTGTGTGTGTGTGTGTGAACTGTTTACATACTGTTTCTATTGAAGAACCACAGAGACAAAAAAAAGAGTTGACAAAAGGAAAGAATTAAAATGTTGATGATTTACAAACTGCATTAATATACATATATTAATATATATATATGTGTGTAGCTAAATAAATGAGGAGTTTAGGAGCTCCTCTAGGTTTCTGAAGGTACCAGTGGAGGTTGTTACCAACACCTGAACTGGTTTTACATCTGATGACAGTCTGTCCTGGAGATCCAGGAGACTGAGTGAGGGTGCTTTGTCCCGATGAACCTGGAAAACATGAAACAGAGGAGAAAGATTATTGAGACAAATCCATATTGGAGAAAGATGATCAACAAAAAGTACAGAAGTGTAAAAAATACAATAAATAATATTCAAATAAATATATTGTAGAGGTTGGAGGTACTGGGTGCTGTGGTTGTGGAGGTTTGAGGTTCTAGGTTATGGGTGCTGTGGTTGTAGAGTCTGATGGATTTGAACTCTCTCCTGATTTTTATGATGGAGAAGGAAAAAAAAGAGACCTCGGCTGCTATAGATTTGATCGTAGCAACTTCCAAGTCAGCACTGTTATAGGAATGTTCAGGCCACTGAAGTCAAGGGTATTTACTAGAGACTTCACCAAACATACATGTTTTGATAGTGGGGGAAACCCACACAGAAATGGGTGGACCATTCCAACTCCACTCAGGAAGGCCCTGCCTTAGCCAAGATTTGAACCCACAATCTTCTTGCTGTGAGACAAGACTGCTACTACTCCCAGTTTATTTGTCTATGTTAGGAGGGAGGAGCCATGGGGTGCTTGGGCGTAGTTGCTGAGCAGATGCCTTTGTTATGTGAAGTGAAAAAGACCTCACCACAGCAAGATAGATCTGTCCCAGGAGGCCTTGGGCAGAAAAACATTAGGGTTCAGCTCTGCGTTGCATTTTGGCTAAAATCAAGAGTGCTCTGTGTTCTTATTGTTTTGTTACGTTCTCTATAAGGAAACTACGCGTTCAACAGATTTTCAGATTAGATTTTTACTCCACGCTCTCCCTGGTGTTGCAGTACCTCTGAGAACGGTGCACTCTCCTTCTAGTTCATAGAAAATCAAACACCTGTTCCAAACAGACAAATGTATTGCTCAACCCTGCCACGGTGGAAAAAACTCTCATTGGCTCTTGTGGAAACTCAGTGGGGTCACAGTCTCAAACCATTGTATGTCTGCCATGACAGCTGGGGGGAATCAACAGTGAGATAATGCCTTAAAATCAACGCAGCCAGATCATTTTCCCTCAGTTTTCCAGACTCCTCGCAGACGGTTTGGAGGCCCTCTGGGGTTTCAAGGGGTTTTAGGCTTAAATTAAGTTATCCTTAACCGACCCCTCTCAGAGAAATTCATTCTCCACATTTAACCTCCATCCCAAGTACCAGGAGCAGCCGATATCCACTGTGTGACGCTCGGGGACCCACTACAGATCTGAGACAGTGGTCCTCCAATCAGCAAGGCCCCGCCCTAGACCACACCCGCTGTCTCCTGTTCAGCTGGGAAGCTCCCATTAGATCTGGGAAACGTTATTTAAGGTTCAGGGAAGCTCCCTTGAGTAGGGGGACCAGGACCGCAAGATGGGACACCAGAATCAGTGCCAGAAGAGACCACGTCAGATCCATTGATCATCTCTTGAAAAAGCTGCAGAATGGGACGATTCTAGGAAACAGAAACTGCAGTGGTCTCCTAGAGAAGTTGCAGCAGTGACATTTTAGTCGACATATTTTCAAGAGGAAACCAGACGGAATAAATTAGTGCAAACAGTGCGAGGCTGCTGAGCATCCTGCTCCAGTTAGTCACTCTCATGAGAACATCAGAAACATCATTCAGCCATTGAACAGTTAACAGTCCTGCAGTGTTATGTAATACTGTAATCATTTGTTGTTGAAGATTTTGCCTCCATTGTTTCTCAGTGTTTACAGCTAATGTTAGTTAGCAAGCTTCTTTGCATGCTTGTACGAGTTCAGATTAACAAAGTAAAAAGTAGCAGCAGTAGTATAACAAATAAAAAAAACTAGTATTAAAGCAGCCCTGTGTTACAAACAGGGAGACTCTGCTGCTGGTCTTCAGACTGGTGACACAGGTAGTCCTTATTCCTTCCTCTGTCTAGTCATGAGAATGGACAAACTCTGGCATGCCTTCACCATCCTGGGGAAAAGATTAGCTCACAGATACTGTTGAATGATGCCCATCAGAGGAAACATTCATTACTTTAACCTTAACAAACAAAGCTAGCCCAACAATGTCTTATTTCAAACTTTTTTTCTATCTTCTATAAATTGTAATATGATGCATGTTGTTAATGATTGTATTATTATTATTCCTATTTCTTGAATGTGTTGTGAGGAACAAACTTCCTCCTGGGGATCAATAAAGTATTTCTTTTTTGTTTGTTACACTCGTCAGACAGCGACAGTCCTCACACAATCATACAGAATGAACACACAGATATTTACAGTGTGCAGACGAGGCGTACTGACAGTGTGGCTCCCAGAATGCTTCCTGACAAATGTCCTGTGGCTGTTTGTCCTGGTTTTAAGGTGGAATTTCCTCCATACCTCGCTCTCTTTCATTACCGTGATATGAAAAGACTGATGATGAAGAGTGAAGATGACTATGTTTGTTCTGGCTCATTGACTGAAAAGGTTTCAGAAGGTGTGTCGTCACTTACAGTTTTCCATGTTTACTTTTTGCCTCACCGTCGAGTTTAAACCTGTCGGTGACATAATCCACCGCTCAGTAACCACTACTACACTGCAGTGAGTGCACAGTGCATCAGAGCACACAGCATGGTGCTACCTGTACAGACAGTAACTGCTTTCTGTTGATGGATACACAGTACACTCACAGTACACTCACTGTACACTCACTGTACACTCACAGTACACTCACAGTACATTCACTGTACACTCACTGTACACTCACAGTACACTCACAGTACACTCACAGTACACTCACAGTACACTCACAGTACACTCACTGTACACTCACAGTACACTCACAGTACACTCACAGTACACTCACAGTACACTCACAGTACACTCACAGTACACTCACTGTACACTCACTGTACACTCACAGTACACTCACAGTACACTCACAGTACATTCACTGTACACTCACTGTACACTCACAGTACACTCACTGTACACTCACAGTACACTCACTGTACACTCACAGTACACTCACAGTACACTCACTGTACACTCAGTACACTCACAGTACACTCAGTACACTCACAGTACACTCACTGTACACTCACAGTACACTCACTGTACACTCACTGTACACTCACTGTACACTCACAGTACACTCACTGTACACTCACTGTACACTCACTCTACACTCACAGTACACTCACTGTACAGTTACAGGGACCGATCTGTTCCAGCTACTGATTTGTGTCTTTCTGTTCTTGCTGTAAATAAAAGGAGACGTTATGTTCTGGGTGCTGAGATGGATTTCCTCATTAAACCTAATTTCAGTTTTCTATAAGTAGATTTCCTCATTACAGTGACACTGACAGAAAGCAGCTGCAGCGGCTCTTCCTGCCATCACACAGCTTTATCATTCTGACAGTGAACATCATGTGTTTATTCTACAGCAGGTTCATTAGAGCCCCAACAGCTCCCTAAACCCAAATATTAACCACAGCTTAACACATCTGAATGAAATTGCCTCATTGTGAGTTTTTAATTAATGTGCATGGTTCTGTGAGGTTCCTGGTACAAGTTTAATGCTCTCATCTGAACCTCCTCCCTCAGTGGCTCTCTTCTGGCTGCTGTCAGTGTGTTTGTGGACGAACCCACTGACAGTCTCCTCCCTGCAGCCCACACTGAGCTGTATGTCCTGTATAACCTCCACATCCACAGTCAGTCTGTCTGTTTCTGCTGCCTGTGTGTAAAATGTGTTTTAGTGTCAAACTCTTTCAATTCTCTGAGGAGGAGGAGTTCAGGATGCTCCACACAGCTTCACCCAGTGAGTCACTTCATTACAGAGGCTGTTAATGAATGTGTGAACAGGTCAAAGGTGGAGAAGAAGATCATAACAACCTCCTCCTCTTCTGTCTGAAGGCGCCTCTCTCTCCCTGTGTGTGTGTGTGTGTGTGTGTGTGTGTGTGTCGCTCTCTCTCTCTCTCTCTCTCTCTCTCTCTCTCTCTCTCTCTCTCTGTCTCTATCTCCTCCCCCCCTCTCTCTGTCTTCGGGAGTCTCATTCAGAGAGGACTGATGTAGAGGAGGCAGCCACCGTCCGCTCTTCCTCCTCCAGTCTTCTTTACGCGCAGCGGAGTGATGGCAGCGCTGCGCCCGGAGAGGAGCCTCCTCCTCCTGCTGGGCTTCTTCTCCACCTCGGCAGCCTGGGACCTGGTTCTCCTCCACACCAACGACGTGCACGCCCGGGTGGAGGAGACCAGCAAGCACTCCGGGAAGTGCAGCAGCAGCAGGAGCAGCGGCGGCGGGTGTTTCGCCGGGGTGGCCCGGAGAGCCACGGTGGTCAACAGGATCCGCTCCTCGCAGACCAACGTGCTGCTGCTGGACGCCGGAGACCAGTTCCAGGGGACAGTGTGGTTCAATTACTACAAAGGAGCCGAGGCTGCGCACTTCATGAACAAACTGCGTTATGATGCCATGGTAGGAACCATTACTGCGCTACGCTCCTGTGGGGAGGGTAGCTGGGACAGACAGACAGGCAGACAGACAGACAGACAGTCCTTTTACTCCCAATATAAGATCTAAATGCTATGGTGAGTTTACTTTATTGTCTTTTATTCCCAGTGGTGGAGGAATTTTCTTCAGTAAAAGTAGAAACGCCACAGTGTGCAACTGATAAAGAGTGGAGTCCAGTACAGTACAGTCCAGTATAGTCCAGTACAGTCCAGTACAGTACAGCCCAGTATAGTCCAGTACAGTACAGTACAGTACAGTCCAGTATAGTCCAGTCCAGTACAGTACAGTCCAGTATAGTCCAGTATAGTCCAGTACAGTACAGCCCAGTATAGTCCAGTATAGTCCAGAACAGTACAGCCCAGTATAGTCCAGTACAGCCCAGTATAGTCCAGTACAGTAGAGTCCAGTATAGTCCAGTACAGTACAGCCCAGTATAGTCCAGTACAGTATAGTCCAGTATAGTCCAGTACAGTACAGAACAGTACAGCCCAGTATAGTCCAGTATAGTCCAGAACAGTACAGCCCAGTATAGTCCAGTACAGCCCAGTATAGTCCAGTACAGTAGAGTCCAGTATAGTCCAGTACAGTACAGCCCAGTATAGTCCAGTACAGTATAGTCCAGTATAGTCCAGTACAGTACAGAACAGTACAGCCCAGTATAGTCCAGTATAGTCCAGTACAGTACAGCCCAGTATAGTCCAGTATAGTCCAGTACAGTACAGCCCAGTATAGTCCAGTACAGTACAGCCCAGTACAGTCTAGTCCTGTACAGTCCAGAACAGTACAGCCCAGTATAGTCCAGTATAGTCCAGTACAGTACAGCCCAGTCCTCATGCAGTCAGTGTTGTATTAGATTGTTGATCCATGAAGGTACAAGAAGTTGATTTACAACTACAGCAACTTTATAATCTCTGTTTGGTTACTTATTGTATCCTATTGAAATTTTAGAATCGCACAAATAATTGAAATATTATGGAAATCACAGACTGCCGAGGGCAATAAACAGCATTTAATGAAGTATTATAATGAAGTACTGTGGTGCTGCAGAGAGGCCGTGTTTGTTTGGTACAGACCCACAAACATTTCATCATCATGGTTTAAAGATTTTTATATATTTTTATTGTATAAATCCTATCTGTCTCAATAATGGTAATATGATGTTTTTACCACATCTTCCATCGTAGTGGTCTGACTGAACCAGGGTCTGCAGTTGGTTGGTGACAGTGATAATCCTGTATCGCTGTATATCTCCTGTGGTGGATCGATGATAATCTCAGTGAAGGATTTAGAGATCATCCCGTACAGTTTATTCAGTTTTACAACATTTATAAAGATGAACAATGTGACAGTTCTCCAAAAGTGAAGCTAAAACATCGTGATCGCCCCCTGGTGGCTGACTGCAGTACATGTCATATATATATACTGTATTTATATTTTTTTCACTAAGCCTGTATGATTGCTATTGTATTTGTATGTCCTGGGTTTGGCTTCACTTTTGGAGAGCTGTCATGTCGTCCATCTTTATATATTGTGATGGTCTGTAGCCAGTACCACATTTTAGGCAGTATCGGAGGAATTTACAATTGCGTTATTGTAGTTTTCTGCCATTAAGGTTCACAGATAGAGAGAATAATGTATTTGTCATTTGGTACCCACCGTTTTGGTATAATTCTTATAAAAAAAGAAATAACTTGACAAACCAAAGTCCTATAGTGTTGTAATCCCATCATAAAGTACAATAACACACAGCGTGCAGGAGTCAGATCTACAGTTTACAACGTTACAAAAATGATTAAAAAAAAAAGATAGAAAGGTTTCAGGTCAAAGCATGTTAATCAGACTCCACTCAGTGAATGTATTGATCCAGGTCAGAAGGCCTCAGTTGGTATTAATTAGCCTAATAGCAGCAACTCGGAGAGAGGCCTTTTAATGGATGAGCTGTCCGCTCTCTCTTTAATCTTTACACCTGAATTAAAGAAATTAGTTTAGACTCATTATAAATCTTGATGGATAGTTATTCCCCCAAAATGAGATGTTTTAAATTCTGTAAAAGTGACTCCAGTACGGTGGCCAGGAGAGGTCAACACACTGCAAATGAGGAAAACATCTTCACTACTTTGACAACGTCTGGTCACACAAGCAAATCAAGAAACAAAGAAATCCACCGCAAATATGTAACACTGCAAGTTATACACAACAAAAAGTTTCAGCAAGACAATTTAAGTTTTACAACAAAATAATGAAACCACCAGGAAACACAAAAGATTTTCCAATAAATTCTCGTAAGGCCCTTTTCTACCAAAGTAGTTCTGGTTCTTGAACCTGTTCCGTTCAAGAATCATATAACCTTGGTGCTATGTATCGAACCAACCTTTCACCAGGTTTAAGGGCAATATAAAGTTGTCAGTAATCAGCATAGATGTGAACATATCCAGCCAATATCAGACTTATACAATCACAATGTTGTTACTTCATATACCAACATCACTGACGAGTGGTTGACGACAAATCACACATCTGGGCATGTTCATCAAGCCTTAGTACCCCCTAGAAACATCTGTTGTGTCGTGTATGACAATGTGGTGAAGATGTTTTCTTCATCTGCTTGTGTTTTGTCCTTTGGCAGCTGTTTTCTTTAGTTCTCTCTGCTACAGGAGAGGACTGTCGACGCTCAACAGGCATCCATTTGATGCTTCGTAGGTCAAAAGATGTCAAGGTTAAAACTGGACGAAATTTGATTGAAAACTGAGCGTTGTTTAACCCTTTTTCACACGTTGTTTTCAATATATTGAGAACCCTTTTTTTATTAGAATCCTTGACTGTATATAATTAGTGGACTGAGCTTTTGGGTCTGTGAAGTGAAGCCAATGCAGATGTGTCTGCATTCCTTCTAATGGCCACCAGGGAGCAGCTCTATGGGTTGCAAAAAAGAAGTCTGATAGAACTGAGCCTGAGAAGAAATGAGCCGAATCTTAGTTGATTTATTCCCTCAGTAAACAGTTTCCTGATGAGTTTCTGGTCTCAGTCTCTAGTTTCAGTCTTCTTCCATACAGCATGATGTTCATTTAGTAACTGATGGTCCCATTTAGAGTAAAACAGACCATAAAGCAGGGTATGCTTTAGGGCGTCTGCATATAGAACCATAGATGTCTTCTGTGAGCATCAACCAAATGCTTACTGGGTAATGAACTACCTGTCACTGTGTATGTGACACATCAGAGCATCTGTTTCTGACAAATAAAGTCAAAGAATCAGATTTACTGACTGAAAGAGCTCTTCCAGCCACTGTTTACCTGCCTGTGGACAGAGAGAGAGAGAGCAGGCACATGATAAGCAGACTCGTTTTAATTCAGTTCTGCTTCACTTTCTGTGCCTTAAGAGCTGCTGGCTGTCGGCTGTCAGCATCCATCTTCTTCTGTCCGGAAACAGTTTCCTGTAGCTGGATTTCATTAACAATCTTACTCCTTAGTGGAAGATGAGGTTAGTGTGTGTACTCAGATTTATATAAACGGATCTAAAGGAGCTCCAAAATGAAAGTAAACTATGACAAACGTGCTCATCCGTACAAAGTTCACGTAAAGTACATCCTGGACAAGTCCCCAGTCAGTCGCAGGGCTGCGACACTTCTCCATTAAGGCAGTTTGACAGCTGGTTCAAAGCCGGTGTAGTCGACTTGCTAGCAACATGAACCCGGCCTAATCTTGAACCAGTTCTGACGTCTCGGCTCTTGGTCAGGAAAACTGGTTCCAGCACACCACCTTGCTGGTCTAGAACCAAGAACCACTTACAACTGTTTAGCCCATAGATGTTGTGAACATAAGCTGTTGGTCAGCTAACATTACACACACATAGCTAATTATTAGCACATCAGTGTTTTGTTTGCAACCAGCTGGCGCATGTAATGATGTGGTACAACCGGCACTAACACCAGAACCAGAACTTGAGACTAAGGCCACACAGTGGTTACAAACATTTCTTCTACAATTGTAAAATAAGGACAACTTTATTATATTCATATAAAGTAAAGATTTTGGGCACAACTTCACCTACAAGGTGCATGAAGAAGGGAAAAGGTCTGAAGAGGTCAAACTCATTTGCAGTATAAAGAACAACTATATAGTCATTTCAACATGTTTCTGCTTGAGTTCTGACGGACCTGCAAGGGATTCAAACATTACTTAAGCCATGACACGTGTTTTCTCTCTTTCCAAGTGAATCATTCATCATCTGCTGAATCTAGAGGAAGTAGTCTGAGTGTGTGTGTTACTTTAGTGAATTTGTGTGTCATCTGACATTTGATGAGAGCAGCTGTCTGAATGTTATTCTACAGTTCTCTATTTGACTCCTTTGTTTTTTCAGGCTTTTGGAAATCATGAGTTTGATAACGGAGTGGAGGGGCTCATGAAACCGTTCATGGAGAAGATCCAGTGTCCTGTTCTCAGCGCCAACATCAAACCGGATGAAACTCTGGCCGCCACGTTTGGCAGCTCTTACTTACCGTATAAGATACTGACAGTTGGCAGCGAGAGGGTGGGCGTGGTGGGATACACATCACAGGAAACTCCTGCTCTGTCCAAACCTGGTAAGTGGATGGTTTCTGACTCACACTGTTTACGCACTCATCTCGAGGCCTCCACACTGTAAACATGCTGATATGGTCTCTCTCTCTGTTTCCTGGTGTAGTCTATATATGTTTCCTCTCCAGCTGTCATGAAGAGTTAGAGGGACTTTTTGTTATATTTTAAGAGGGCTATGGTCTTTAAATGAAAATGGAGAACTGAAATTCATCTGATGTATGCAAGCAGTGTTAGAACTGAGATTCACACAGTTTACTTAAAGTAGTGAGTTACTAGTACTATTGAAGTGAATTAAGGATTTAAGGTATTCAACGCAGCGTTACCTGAATAAGATGACAGATTTCTCTGAGTTTGAACATTGTTGGAAACATTTGGGATAATGGAAGAACTCGACTACATACAGAACATAGAGCCAGCGTTTATACACTGTTTAATGGCAACAGTTACAGATTATAGGTTTAAAATGATTCATGTAAAATGATTTATGCCAATATAAAAGATGATTCCAGCAAATACATGCAAAGCAGATAGACCACAAACAACAAACAATGTCACCAGCAGAGATGTGAGTTAATCGTGGAGGAGATGAAGGCTGATAAAGTCGCTGCTGGAGTGTGAAGAAATGTTCAGAATATAAAGTAGGTAGCGTGAGAGAGATCAACCAGAGACAGAGGACGATTGTTTCTGTGATTTCTTATCAGTAACATTCACTACAGTCAGGGATTTATCTTCCTGTATTTCAGCCAACAGACACAGGATGATATGAAAACAACCTCTGTGTTGTGTCGGAGCTAAGGAAGTTTGACTGTGTCAAGTCAAAGGTGAAATGATGATGATGATCATGAGGAAGTTTCTAATTCCTTCGGTTTGTTTAATTTCTTCTTACAGAAGAAAGTTCAGATAAATCCTTTTAAAAATCATTTTGTTACAGTTTTTTTATTCTCATTGTTTATAAGAAAAGATGCACTTCAGTTCTCCTTCTGGGAGATATAATAATAATTATTAATATTGAGTGTCTACCGATACCGTACTTATATTTACCAAATCGACGGGGAATCAGCACAATAAGAGCTTCTAAAACAAAATGAGAAGCTGCTTCCTGAATGTGTTATACACTGCGCTTTGCTAATCAGAGAGACAGCGATAAGTGTTCAGTGAGTCCGTGTAATTTATCAAATCAGAGTCGATCAGCAACATCTGTGGCTAAAAGAAATGTAAATGGGATGTTTTTGCAGGTTTAACAGGTATTTTTTTACAGTGTTGCTCTTTCACCTGTACAGGACCACACCTGCGGTTCGAGGACGAGGTGACCGCCCTGCAGCTGCAGGTGGACAAGCTGCAGACGCTGGGCGTGAACAAGATCATCGCTCTGGGCCACTCTGGGTTCACCGTGGACCAGGAGATCGCCAAGAAGGTCCGCGGGGTCGACATCGTCATCGGCGGACACACCAACACCTTCCTCTTCACAGGTGAGGTAACGTCACGTCACCTACGTGGTTTCTGATGCCTGATGCCGGATTTCAGAGAAGCTTTTATATGAATTGTGATGTGTGTCCGATGTTTTTATGTGGGAAAAAAATTTGAATTGCAAAAATAGTTGCAATTTTTGGTTGTACAATTAAAAATCAAAGGCAGCTTGTCCCAGTGAGAATAAAACTGCTCATACTTCAGTGACGTTTGGTTTATTGGTGCCCTCTAAAGGCTAACCGTTTGACATTTGGTGAGTTAATTTTCTTCGTTGAAGCTGTTAGAGCTTGTTGCAGGTTGTGAACTCTCCGTTCTGGGATTAGGGATTAGGGTCGGGCACAGCACATACACGAATATATCAGCAACCACTGATTGCAGGTCTGACGGAGGCCGGTTGGAAAATTTGAACATATCACTACACTCTAATAAACATGTGACGACTAGTTGACGAGGAAGATCTTTTTAATTAATGGATGATGAAAATAAACATCAGTTGCAGCCGCAGTGACACAAAAGAACATCCAAACGTCTTTTATCCAAAACTCAAAACCTATTCTGGGATCTGTATATATAAAAAAATATATCTTTGGAATAACTGGCTTTCGTCTGTGGTTCTCTGACTGACTGTGTTCACTGGTTGGATGACGGCAGCAGCACATTCAGTTGACCTGTCATCAGCCAACAGAAACATGATCGAGCTCTGAATGTGCAGCTGAGAACATCTGTCCTACCCCCCCACTGCCCACTGTAAACTGAGTGACACAGCTCTGACACTGACTGCGCTCTTGCTGCTGGACGGGGAAACTCTGAGTCTTCATACTTGTGGTTAGCTGAACAGTAAACACAGTGTCGACTCGAGCGTGCTCTCCATAAATAACTCTGTAGTGTTTCATATAAAAAGCGAACAGTCAGTTGGTGGCTCAGACCTCAGGCTCCAAGAATAAAACTGTTTCTTCTAAAGAGGAGTGTCCTTGAAGATGACTGATGCATTCAAGACCTCCTGTGAACTGCAAATTTGAGCTGTAAAATTCAACTAGAAAATTCCTAAAGAAATGTTGATTGTGCCTCGCTCTGGCCCGTAAAACGTTTTTTTTTTTTTCCTTTTTTTTTAAACCCTATACATATTAATACCTTATCTTCCCTATAGCATATTAATAACCTGTAATCCTAGCACTCTAGCATATTAATAACCTGTAATCCTCCCTATAGCATATTAATAACCTGTAATCCTCCCTATAGCATATTGATAACCTGTAATCCTCCCTATAGCATATTGATAACCTGTAATCCTCCCTATAGCATATTAATAACCTGTAATCCTCCCTATAGCATATTAATAACCTGTAATCCTCCTAACATATTAAATTTTTTTTTTTTTTTTTCTCCTTTTTATTTTTTTTTTATTTTTTTTCCCCCTTTAAATTTTTTTTAACCTTTTATTCCCCCTATAGCATATTGGTAACCTGTCATCCTCCTTAGCTAGCGCTAGCATATTAATGCCATGTCATTCTCTATAGCTAGTTAGCTAGAGCTAGCTAGCGGTTAGCTACGCGCTAAGCGCTAATCGCTAGCTAAGTGCTAGCTCTGGTTAATGTGTTTAATTGTATTATGCTCCTGAAGGAGTGCTAATGTAAATTAAGGAACAGCTCATAGTAGGGTAAAATATTTAAGGTGTATTGTTCTTATTTTGTGTTAATATTAAAATCATTCAGCTTTAAATTGTTTGTTTGTTAGCCTGCTAATTATCATTAGCTAGCCAGCTAGCGCTAGCTTATTAATGTCTTGTCATTCTCTGTAGCTAGCTCTGTGTCTGTGTGTGTGTGTGTGTGTGTGTGTGTGTGTGTGTGTGTGAGCAGGCTTTGGTTGTCATGGCAATCAGGGGAGCCCACAGCAGCTGCGCGCGCTCTCTCTCTGTCTCTAACTCCTCAGAGAGACAGAAACATTTAAAATGAATCCCCTCGAACCCATGGCCAGGAACGACCGAAATGAAAACCGAAAAGACCGTGAGCGTCGTCATCTTGTTGACTATAGCACTGCCGAGTTTCAGTGGCTAAAGTTAAAAAATGTGACCTGAGGAGATTGAGAGAGAAGAGGTTCAACGAGCGTCTTTCAAGATTCCTCCTCTACATTTTAACATGGGAGTAGATGGGGCCGTGAGAGGGCAGTGGTATCCCTGCGACCCCAGCGAATTTACCTACATTTCTATCTATAAATTATTTCTGTAGAGTGACATTTGTGGCCTTGAGAGCAGTTTACAAATTTATTTTTCGACAAATTTTTCTCTCTCCCCACACTCTAGTGATGATGTCACGCACTCTGGCGGTTGAACATTCTCCCAATACACACCCATTCATTTTTTGGACCGGTTTTTGGCGATTTACCGGCAAACCGTTTGGCGAAACGCTTAGAAAAGTCACAGCACTAATGTCCTCACCGAGCCGCACGTTTTGATACCTTTTTCGTGTACGTGCGACCAAAACTGCGGGAGGAGAAACGCGCCGAAAAACGTACGGAAGAATAATAAGCCCGAGGGAGAGTAGTATGGTGCTTATGCGAGGCACAATAATAATCTGAATGTTCAGAAGTTCACTTTCCTTTGTTATATTGGGCTGTCACTGCAATTCCTCACAGATGACTCATCAGATTTAAATTTTCTGCCAAACTAGAGACCTTGAGTGCAGGGCTGAGAGTTCTTGTACTGGAAGAGTTGAGTCACCGTTAAAGCAAAGCATTAGTGGTGTGTTCAAAGTCTCCCATAAACCTTAAGTGACGCCTGCCAAACATTTTGCCACCAAAGAAAGAAAACAGTCTTCAATAAACTTTGTCCAAACTGTATAAGCTTCATCAGTCAGTCGACATAATTAGTGAAAAAAATTAAAGATCCAGCTGAGAGAAGAGAAGACGGGCAGCTGTGATGAAGACCATCTGTAAGAAAGTGTTAATTTAAACCACAAGTTTCATCTGAAACCCAAAATTAACATTCAGACAAACTCTGGACGGGAAGTGTGAGGGAGTCAGTTAGTTTACTGCAGGCTAAAGTAGATTGTTTACAGCCTGTATTTGTTTTGTCAAATTGGCCCCTTTCAAGGAAACCTAAAAAAACCTCTTTTCTGAGCACTCGCTCTCTGTGAATCTGTGTGTGTGGTTAGATTGAACCGAGGTGGAGTTCAGTACTTCTGACGGAAAAAATTAGAAGCCAAACCTCTGAATTACTTAATTCAGTCCAGTTATAGATTTGTCCCGACACAGTTTGAAGCTACAGTTCCCAGACTTTTCGTCCTATTCACTGATCCTATGCCTGACTGTCTTATTGTATTATTGGACATTTTTATTGTACTCATCATTTTTACTTATCAACTTGCATGATTTTAGGTTCCCACAGATTCTTATTCTCGTCGTCTTCGTCTTTCAGGACCTCCCCCGTCCTCCGAGGTCCCGGCGGGTCCGTATCCGTTGATGGTGAGATCAGACGACGGGCGGCCGGTTCCAGTTGTGCAGGCTTACGCCTTCGGAAAATACCTGGGTCATCTGAAGGTGACCTTCGACGATGCTGGTAACGTGGTGAAGTCCACAGGAAACCCCATCCTGCTGGACAGCAGCGTCCCACAGGGTAAAGAACACCAAACACATTTAGTCTGGTTCTGTTGGACAGTTTGTGTCCTCATTGTCTTTTTTCACTCTTACTGTTGATGAAATACATTTCTGACTTCATTCATGTCTTAAATCAACGGCTCCTCATTCAGACAGAGGTGTGATTATATTCTGTAATCGCTCACTGATCGAGAGCAACTTTCCATAAAACATTTTCTCATCATTTATTCTACAGTGCTCAAGCCAAGAAAGAGAAGGTATTAAACTGTGTTTCTCGTTTAATTATTTTTCTTCCGATCATTATTGTGGTTGTTTAAGTTTACAGACTGATCCAGCATGACAGAATCAGCTCATTCACTGTTATCTGAACCTTCGATGGATTGATTGATTGATTTTAAATCGTCATTTTACTAAAATGAAACATCTTCATCCAGATCCGGACTTTCTCGCGGACGTGGAGGAATGGAAAAAGAATCTGGCCAATTACTCTGCTCAGGTGGTGGGACAGACTCTGGTCTTCCTGAACGGGACCACTGAAGAGTGTCGGTTTCGGGAATGCAACCTGGGAAACCTGATCTGCGACGCCATGGTAAGTCTTTCTTAAAAGAAGATACCAGTGAAAATCTATCTGTGGTTTGGTGGATTTTATATAATGCTGAGCTTCCTGAATGGATTCAACAATGTGGGGTTAGGTGCCCGGTTAGCTCAGTCGGTAGAGTTGGCGACCCTTGTAAGGAGTTGCTGCAGTGGCCCGGGTTTGAATCTGACCTGCTGCCCCTTGCTGCGTGTCATCCCCTCTCTCTCTACCCACTTTTCCTGTCTATCTACAGCTGTCACTATCAAATAAGGCCAACAAATTTTTACTTACAAAAAAAAACAATGTGGGGTTGAGGTTCCCTAAAAAACTGGACCGGGACCACCTGGAAAGGACTGTCTCAGAATGCTTCCAAGTGGATTCTGGTGCAGTTTGTGGTCTGAAAGCAGACCAGGATTTTATAACAATGTCCTGTACATCCATATAATGTCCTGTACTGTACTGTCATAGAGGACTGAAGAAAATCTCAGGATTTCTTCTTAAATTACTCAAAATGATGAATTGATTGTCAAAGTAGTTGGCGATTAATTTAATAGTTAAAAGTGAGTACACAAGAGAATACAAGAACATGATATAAATAACATTAAATAAAGGGATTGCAGATGAAAATGAGCTTCATGTTAACTGTTTAATACCAGTAAAATATATAAAAATGTGACTGAGGGAATCTGATTTTGTCTCCATCATTCAGGTCAACAACAACGTCAGATTGTCAGACGATGTCCAGTGGAGCCACGTCAGCGCCGCCATCTTCAATGGAGGAGGCGTCCGCACGTCTGTAGACGAAACCACCAGGAACGGTTCGTCGATGATTCCCATGGAAGTCAAATAAAACCAGAGCTTCTTTGAAGTTGTTGACTATCGGGTGTAAAACTGTGTTTTGTCAGAAGAACTTTCTAAAACAGTGTTGATGTTTTGTCCGTAGGTTCGATAACCATGGAGGACCTGATCTCCGTCTTACCTTTCGGAGGAACCTTTGACCTGGTGCAGCTGAAGGGCTCCACACTGAGAAAAGCTTTTGAACACTCAGTGAAACGATATGGCCAGAGCACCGGAGAATTCCTACAAGTGTCTGGTGTGTTTACATGGTTTCCGTCTGTATATTACTCTCTTAGGGCAGCTGGACTCGCAAGAGTCAGACTTGCCATCTATTTGCCAAACTACAATGGTACCAGACCAACCAGAGTCCTTTGGGGAAGTACTGGCAGCATCGGCTATATCAGGACTGGAGAGTATTTCTTCACTGAAAGTCTATATGGTTCATTGATCTGATTGGTTGAAGTTCCCAGATGGGAATCTATATATATATATCGTCTTTAGGATTTTAGGAGGAGAACTGCTCCCGAGGCCAGGGTCTTCTTCCTGCGAAGCTGCCTTACATTGTTTTGATTTATTGTATGGCTGTGTTACATTTATTTCATGTCAATAATGTCACTTCTCGGTATTTTACGGCCCTGACGAGAACGTCGGTCTCCTCGGCTGTGAACCGCTCCTGGTGTGCGCCTGGCAAATCCGCCGTTATAATAGCAATCCGCCATGGAACAAGCACGCCTGCTTTTAAAGGGAATGTGAGATGACGCTCTGATTGGTTTATTGCACGTTACGCCCAAACCACACCTATGACTAATGTAGCTACTTCAGACCAACCCATTTTAGATTTGCACCGGGCGCAAGAGTCATTTATCCCGCTGGCATAATAGCAACAGCGCCCGAGATCCGCCCACAAAGCTACTTGCGTTTTGCGTTTGATACTTGTGTTTCAGATCAGCAAGATAGGGCCCTATGTCTCTTTATACATTCCTGATTCTGATAGAACTGACGATAGCAGCATCCACGCTAACCTCTTTAGCAGCCACCATTGTTGTTTTCTAGAAAATGGTCCAGTCCCTCATAGGACGCTGATTGGTCTAAAACACATAGATTGAAGCCTGGCTATGTGTGCAGGTTGACTGATGTTTGATTGTGAACCTCGTATTGATGGATAAGTCAGACTGATGTTTCCGACAGGATTTCACGTAGAGTTTGACCTCTCCAAACCTCCGGGGCGTCGCGTGAGGAGCCTCAGCGTCCTCTGCACAAAGTGTCGAGTTCCTCACTACGAACCTGTTGAGGACAAGACGGTTTACACCGTGGTGCTGCCGTCCTACATGGTGGTGGGCGGAGACGGATTCTCCATGATCAAAAACGAGACGCTCAGACACAACAGCGGTGAGATGTTCTGACGCTGAGAGGATTTTGGTTTTATGTTTCTGAGACGAGACTTTTCATTTGACCTTTTATTTTTCCTTGCAGGGGATTTAGACATTTCGGTCGTGTCCAACTACATTGCACAAAGAAAGAAGGTTTATCCGTCTGTTGAGGGACGCATCAAGATCTACAACTCAGCTTCTGGACAGCTGGGACAGACGGCTTCGCTGGTTTTATTGGTTTCACTGTGGCTGCTCTGGACTCTGGATTTTTAACCGAACTGCATGTGAAGAATTGCTGATGGATGTGATTCGACGCGACCGAAAATCTCTTTTAATCCTGTTTTACATTCATTTTAAAACATACGCAGAGCTCTAGTGGTCAAGAACAAACTGGTTGGAGCGTCTTCAGACTCCATGTGGACCAAGTTTGGACACAAACAGAAGGAAATCCTCAAATTTCTAACCAGAAACATGAAATAAAAACTCTTTACACAAGAACTCATGGTCTTTTTACTAGTTACTAGTCTTTACATTGATTAGTGTGAAGGTGTTAATCCAAAGTCGTATCGCACTGGTTGGCGAACTGTTGACTACATGAAGACGTAAAGCATTTAATGTTTCATATAAAATGTCAGAAATATTGAATCATACTGGTTTCTGAGTAACCTGCTCTGCTGTCTGTAGGTTATATAACATTATGATTACAACAAACGTGACCATAAATGGCAGCAAACGTGGTCACACTGAGGCGCTGCAGCCTGTATATAACATTATGATTATTATGAAAATTATGACAATTAATTATTTTCCAACAGTGTAAGCCTACACACACTCGTCTCCTGAGCGTCCATCATTACAACCTGTTAACTACTGAGCCTACCTTTGAACAACACAATCAGTTGAGAAATGTAAAGGTTACAGTGCAGTTCCCAGCTTGTATTTGTTTACAGGCCAGTCTTGCCCGTTCCACTATGGTGGCGGCAGTTGTCTATGTATTTGTGTCTATGGTTTAAACACCTTCAAACTGGGTTTTGGAAACTGAGACTTTTAGCGTGTGAACAATTTGCTGCAAAAACTGAAACCAACAAATATCTTTTACTGAAAACATCAACCTCCATTTTAAATATGTGGAAGGATACATTTGAGCTTCTGATGTTTAGCTTCTATGGTAGCTGTTAGGTTGTGTTTTGCAGTATATTTTCTTTATTCGTCGGCTGTTGAAGCTCAGTGGGAACATATGTGAATCAAGAGTTCTCTGGAAGGACAAACAGCAGAAGAAAAAGCTTAAAAGCACAGCCTCTCAACTTTAGAAACAAAAGTAAAACCCTCAACACTGAGTCTTAACACTTCGGCCAAAAGGGAATAATAGCAGCAGAGTTTAATGGATAATAATCGTTGGATTCCTGGAAGTGTGTCTGAATCTGAAAGCGGCAGCAGATTCTCTTCCGTCTGTAACATCCAGTGTTTGTGAAGCAGAACTCCTCGGTGAACAAGGCTTTCTCTGTGTGAGGGATCTCCCAAACAACGCTCGCTGCCTGTTAATGCTCGGGAACTCCTCATTATTCAGTCCTCCGAGTGTAACACAGCTGGCAGCGGCGGCCTGCCCCGGCACGAGCTGCCAAACGCTGGAAATCAGCCACATTAGGACTCAGTGGAAAAAGCTGCAGCAGAGTTCTGAGAAACCACGAGGACACAGAGTCCATCTGAAACCGGTGTGGGCTGTCTTCAGGACACAGCAGGAGCTTTTTACGGTCTTATATTTAGTTCAGTGAAAGGACAACAGTTTAACGTCTCGCTCACCCAAATTACAAAACTCACTTACCTGTAGTAACCAACCACTTATACACTTTTAGTTTAATCTGTATAGTTCTGAAATATCTGTGATCTGCACAGTCAGATTGAGTCTGAGAGCCCAAAGTGTTAAAAAATGACCTTAAACACGGTTAAAAGATTTCTAATCACTGCAGTTCAGTCAGTTTACCTCAGCAAAGTGAACAGATTACTGTTCGAATGCACTACAGTAAGTACAACAGTCAGTGAACAGTTTTTTGTTGTTTAACAACTGCACACAGTCCCTGACTCTACCGCAGCTTCAGAACAGGTGAGATATGAACAGGTGAGATATGAACAGGTGAGATATGAACAGGTGAGAGATGAACAGGTGAGATATGAACAGGTGAGATATGAACAGGTGAGATATGAACAGGTGAGATATGAACAGGTGTCATTAAGTGTGCACAGGTAACAAACTGTAAAATATAAAACCATCATCAACAGGTTTTGTCTTCATAAACTGTTTTTATTTCTTTGTTCCGTCATATAGACTCAGAGGTTTTTACAAGTTTCACAGCAAAGCAAGAAAACAGCTGTCCAACATCTGCTCTTGAACCTGAACCTGGAGAATCTGCCATCAAACTATCAGGACAGACTTCCGTGTTTAATAAGTGTCGGTAATGGTTCCTGTTGTTGGTGGAAGGACAGACGACAGACAGCGCTCTCTGTAGTGCCATCAATAAATATACATCTATGTATTAGTGCATTCATGTACATTGGAATGTGGAGGTGGTCCCAGAGCTTTAGTGGAGTATTGCACTTCCAGGATTCAGTGTTCGGCACATCGTCTGCTTCATATGATCATCGCGTCCTTCGCTCCCTGAGGAGGAAACAGCACTTTATCTTTTACCCACAGCAGCACATTAATCAGAAACTCTCTTCACTTATTAAAAAGAAATACTAATAATGAACTAGTTCCAGCTTTAGTTCCAGTGTTTGCTGTCCTCTTTCACACTCGCTCCATCTGCTGCAGACTGTACGTGAAGAACTGAACTTCTACTCGATTTCTTTCTGAGAGTTTCATCATGTGTTAAGCTGAAATCTCATTATGGTTAGCCTAGCTTAGCATAAAGACTGGAAGCAGGTGGAAACAGCTAGCCTGGCTACACGAGTTGTACTAAATGCATTCTCAGAAAGTTCCACTGTTCCTTTAAGAGGAAGCACAAATGTTTGTTATTGTGAATCAACATGAGCATAGTCTTCTCTTTATAGTCAGACACCTGATCCACCTATTGCCCCTGTTGCATCATGGGACGTTACTCAACCTGCACTTGTTTAATAATAATAATAAAGTGACATCTGAGCCTTTCTGTACGTCACTGCTGCCGGCTCTAAATTTAATATATGGACGAGTTAAACTGCACAAACATGTTTCTCTGTATGCCGCTGATTGTTTTTAACAGACTGTGAATGATATTGATCAGAATACACTGTATCTTTATGGATTATTGATCAGTGTACACTGTATAAAACTGTATGGATGATATTGATCAGAATACACTGTGTGGATGATATTGATCAGAATACACTGTGTGGATGATATTGATCCCGTATTGACAGTCAGACTTTAGCTCGTGTTTCTAGAGTTACGTGTTGTTACGAACACGTTAGGAATTGTTAAAATGTGATATTTCTTAAAGGGAGTTTGGTGCAGGGAGCTTTTAGTTGGATTCAAACTGCTGATATGGATCATTGTTAACGTTTAGTCTCCACTACAGAAACACTAGCTGACTGCTGAAGGCTGATCAGGTTGATTGATGCTTTAATAATGGGAGTATTGATTACTGACTGAGCTAATCGTAATGGTTGGAACTGATGCTCACTGTCGTAGCCCCCCCGCCGTTGTTCAGCCCCTCCCTCTGATTAAGACATTAACAAACACTGAGCTGTGTCTCTTCCTGTATTAACCCTTTACATCCTCCACTGTCACTGGTTTACCTTGCTGAGTTCAGGGAAAAGCTCCTGCACGGCGATGTCCAGCAGGACGTACGTCATCTGAAGAGACACAACAGCAATGTGAGTTCGGTTTCAAAACACCGGAGAGTAGTGTGAACCTGATTGGACCTTTTAGTTAGTTGCAACCATTATAATCATATTTCCTACTGATAAAGATACTAATGTGTGAAATCTTTCAAGAACCAAAAGTGGCATCAAATATCTGGTCAGTCCTGTTTAATTAAGCCTTCCTAAGTCCCGCCTCTTTTTGTTCTGTGCTCCAATCAGAGTTCAACAAGCTACTGTTGTGTTGTTTCTGTTTACCTGCTTGTTGAGGAGCGGCTGCTGGAAACTGTCAAACAGCAGCCGGACGCCTTCGTATTTTGCCTCCTCGCCGATGCACTTTCCCACAAAGTCTGAGAATATAAAACACAAACACATTAACAATGAATGACTGTGCAGTTATCATATTCCTGACTAATACTGAGGAGTGGGATTAGTGTTGACCGATGACGTCTCAGCTTTATCATCAACCAGCTGCTGTTCCTTCCTCGTGTGCACTGACTTTAAAGAAACGAGCTCATATGGTAACAGAGCTGAGACGAGTATTTCTGGACTGGAAGTTAAACTTGAGGTTGTAGTTGGAACCTGCGGACCGGCTGCGGTGGCGTTTGAGGAAGTGAAAGATAACACCATCTTTTACCCAAATGAATGAAACACTGTTACTCTGATCAACGTCACATGAGGAGAAACTGACCTGGTAAATACTTCATCATCTCCTCAAACGTCTGCTTGGCTCTGATCTGTTTGTCCTCCGCCGTTCGCTCCTCGCTGCTCTCACAGAACACGGCGTCTGCGGGAAGAAAACCACTCAATGAAACTTTAATACATCACTCAGAGACTACATTTCTCCTTCCAATGACCCCAAATCTGTTCCTCAAAACAGTCAGTCAGACAGGGCAGCAGGTAGGGAGGGGAGGAGGGGAGGTGTTTCTGTTAACATAGTTCTCAGGAGGGAAACTGTGTGTGAATCAGTGGTGTTACTGGGAATAATGCGCACACACACACACACTCCATGTTTCCCACCTCTGAGCTGTGTGATGAGGGAGACCATGTGGTGCTCCTGGAGGACCTGCTCCAGTTTGGACTGCATGTACTGGTCCATGTAGGCCTCGAAGGTGTTCTTCAGCAGGATCCTCCCTGCAGCCAGGACGTGGTGCAGCCAGTCCGACATGTGGAACACCGTCCGGCCTGTTGGTCACAGACACCAACACAGACACAGACTGACGGGTCAGAACCGACTGGACAGGAGGCGTTATTCCTCTAATCTAATGCCACTACGTTTAAACGGTATATAAAAGGATGAAAGTAGAAATCTTCCCACCAGGGTGAGAGTGAGTCAACGATCTACTTTCCCAAAATCAAATGTTTCCTAAAGCTTCTTTTCCAGGGAGACCCTGTTTACTGGCCGACCGTCACTTACCGACGTACATCATGTAGTCATACATGCCGTCGACAGTGACCATCTCCATGAAGTAGTTGTGGTTGTATTTCCTCTCCCAACTGTCGGACCAGTTGGCGTTGTTCTTGAACAGGTCGCTGAAGAGCTGCAGGTCATATAAAAAGGTACAGTGATTTGTTTCTGTTCACACAGAGGTATCGGTAATGAAAACATAATGAACCAGGACTGCTTCAGGGTCATATTGGACAGACATTTGATCAACAGACCT